AAAACAGGAATTTCCTAATATTTATGTATCAAAAATTCATAATTTCTTTACTCAATATTTTTAGGATTCAAAAGTCTTTGTTTAAAAGGGCTAAATATTTTCAAGGCCAAATTTATAACAGGAGTTTCCTAATATTTATGTATCAAAAATTCATAATTTCTTTACTCCATATTTTTGGGATTCAAAAGAGTATTTGTTTAAAAGGGCTAATGCACGCAGTATATTTTTTCAGTCGTAAGGAAACATCGAAGCGTAATGGCGACCAGGATAAACGAAGAAAAATCTGAGAAATAAAGTATGATTGTACTGAACGGTTGAATGCAGCGCTAATTTGTTTATGCGATATAATTATCATGGTAATATTACTTTTTAAACACAGTTTCATTTTGTAGTTGTTGTCTATATAGTAGGTACTTTATTTGTTTTAGGATAGTATTTAGTTACACAATAATAACACTTTTTTGTTTTCATGTAGATTATTAATTTATAAGTATGTGTTTTCTATAAGTATAGTATTGTTTGTTTTAAAAATAGTATTTAGTTTCTAATATTTTTTTTTTTGTGGTACATAATACCTGTAGGTATTCTCATTAGATTAGGGTTAAGTTCAAGCATAAAGTTAGTTTACCTTATTTTCATTTTACGGTTGTTCTTTTTGACATAATCGTTAAAAATAAAAGTAATTAGGTACCTAATTATTAATCTTCTTAATCTTATGTTTCTTTTTTTTTTATTACGAGATACGCTTTAGTTAAGTTTTCATTTTCTACGTTTTTTCTTCATCACTATAATGCCGAGAAAAAGAACTCAGCTTTCTCGGCAGACTGCTACTGCAAAGCGGCTGCGAGTTTTGCGCAGCAATGAAACTGAGGATGAAAATATGCACAGGTTGGCTACACAACGAGCAATTACTGAACAAAACCGTGCAAGGGAATCAAGCGTTGAACGTTCGCAGCGTTTAGCCTCACAAAATTTCCGAACTTTGGCGAACCGGCAACGGGAATCGAGTGCTGATCGTTCTCAACGTTTGGCTTCACAGAATGCCCGAACATTGGCTAACCGCGATCGGGAATCGAGTGCTGAACGTTCTCAACGTTTGGCCTCACAGAATGCCCGATCAACTAGGAATAGAACTCGGAGACAACATAATTTATTAAATGCTGCTTTTGCTTATGATTGTACCGTTGACTATTCTGAGCTATATCATTTAGCATTGGTAGCATGGATAAAATATGCAACTTATGCCAAGCAAAAAAATGGGCAGCTGAAACTCCTGGACTGTGTTGTAGTGGTGGCAAAGTAAATATACCTATAATTCCGGAACCAACATCCGTTTTAAAGGAACTGATATCAGGCTCACATCCATCATCTAAGCATTTCTTAAATCACTCAAGACAATATAATACATTGTTTCAGATGACTTCATTTGGTGCCAAAGAAATTCGTGAGGGAAACTTTATGCCCACTTTTAAAGTCCAAGGGCAAGTTTATCATTTAATCGGTGACTTACTTCCATCTGTAGGGGCACAACTCGAATTCCTGCAAATATATTTTGTTTCCCATGCAGATCAGGTACGTATCCCATGCTTATCGACGTTCTCCAAACATATCTTCATAAGCATAATACGTATATTCAAAGTTTTAAGTACAATCTAGAAAATAGACCACCGAATGATTTAAAACTTATCATTCATGCTGATGTAAAACCTCCTAATGAGCCTAGAGGTCGGTATAATGCGCCGGTAGTAGATGAAGTAGCTGTTCTTATGATAGATGAAGACAAAGGTCCCCGTGATATTGTATTGACTGCGAGAGATGGTCGACTTCTGCAATTCATAGATCTTATGACCCGCTTCAATATCCCTTACTGTTTCCCTTTGGAAACGACGGATACTGTATTAATATTCCACAGCAGAATACTACGGCTACATTTAAAACTGTTTCATGTATGCAGTTTTATGCATTTAGATTCATGGTGAGAATAAATGACTTTAACAGTATACATTATTTCAAAAGATTATTCAACCAATATTGTGTTGATATGGCGGCAAAAATGATCTCTGAGAGGCTAGACTTCATCAAAAGAAATCAAAAAAAAATGAAAGCAGAAGAGTACATTCATTTAAGAGATGCCGTCGTAAATGATGGACATATAAACGCTTCTAATATTGGCCAGCACGTTATATTGCCGTCGTCATTTACAGGATCCCCCAGATTTATGAATGAGAAAAGTCAAGATGCCATGACATATGTCAGGAAATTTGGAAGACCTGACCTCTTCATTACATTTACATGTAACCCCGAATGGCCAGAAATAAAAAGTGAGTTATTGCCCAATCAACATTCTTATGATAGACATGATTTAATTTCTAGGGTATTTCATTTAAAACTCAAGAAAATGATAGACCTATTAACGAAGAAAAATATTTTTGGCCCATCGAAAGCCTTTGTTTACAGTGTAGAATGGCAAAAAAGAGGTTTACCTCACGCCCACATTTTTTTGTGGCTGGCTAACAAAGTTCAACCAGATTCTATAGATGCAATAATATCGGCTGAAATACCTGACATACAACAAGATCCGATTCTTCATAATATTGTCATAAAAAATATGATACATGGTCCTTGCGGATTTCATAATCCTACATCACCATGTATGAAATAAAACGTTTGTTCTAAAAAGTTCCCTAGGCATTTTATTTCGGAAACACAAACGGGAGATGACGGTTATCCAACCTACAGACGCAGGTCTCCAGATAATGGTGGAAAAACAGCTATAATTCGTGTAAAAGGTACAGAAATGAGCGTGGATAATCGTTGGGTGGTTTCCTATAATCCACTGCTATCACGAATTTTCAATGCACACATTAACGTAGAGTTTTGTCAATCGGTCAAAGCTATTAAATACATCTGTAAGTATATTCATAAAGGTTCTGATCAAGCCACATTTTCGTTACAAAGTAATAACGATGAAGTAGAAAAATATCTAAATGGTCGCTATATAAGTTCCTCGGAGGCGTTTTGGAGAATTTTCCAATTTTCTATTCATGAACGTTTTCCGGCAGTAGTTCATTTAGCCGTTCATTTGAAAAATGGACAAAGTGTATATTTTTATAATAATGAAAATCTCCAAGATCGTGTGAACAATCCTTCATCAACGACACTTACAGCGTTCTTTGATCTCTGCAAAAGCGACGATTTTGCAAAAACCCTTTTATATCACGAAGTTCCCCAGTATTACGTTTGGCAAAGAAATTCATTTTCGAGAATAAGACGCGGGCAAGATGTTGAGGGATATCCCGGTGTAAAAAAAGACACAAATTTAGGCCGTGTTTATAACATTCATCCAACTCAAACTGAATGTTTTTATTTAAGAATGTTATTGCAATATGTTCGCGGTCCAATGTCATTTCAACATCTAAGAACCGTGAATGATGTTATTTTCCAAACGTACCAAGGCGCTTGCAAGGAACTAGGTTTACTGGAAGGAGATGAACATTGGCAAAATACCATATCCGATGCTATCATATCCTTATATTTTGCCAACCATCTGACCCCTTAGAGTTATGGAATAAATTTCGTGATACTTTATGTGAAGATATATTAAACAGAATGCGTAATGAGAATCAGGATATGACATTAGCATATTATGATGATATATACAATGATAGACTAATTATAATTGAAGATAAAATTCATGAGATTTCAGATAAATCCCTAACCGACTATGGGCTTCCTGCAGCAAAAAGAAATAATTCGCTTCTGGACCCGTTAGAAGTAGCGTTGCGAAAACCATATAACATAAATGAATTAAATGAGTATATCACACAAAATGAACCAAGATTAGTTAATGACCAGGTGGCAACGTATACTTGTGTCATGAAAAGTGTTCGTTTTAATGAAGGAAGAATTTTCTTTTTGGATGCTTCCGGTGGGACCGGCAAGACGTTTATCACTAATCTTATATTAGCAAAAGTAAGGTCTCTAGGAAAGCTAGCCTTGGCAGTAGCGTCGTCAGGTATTGCTGCAACCTTATTAGCAGGTGGACGCACAGCTCATTCCACTTTTAAACTGCCCCTAACTGTGTCTTTAGAGAAAGATAGCGTGTGCTCTATACGCAAAAATGGCCCTTTGGGGAAAATTTTACAAGACGTCAGTCTAATAATCTGGGACGAATGTACCATGATACATAGAGCTCACGTAGAAGCTCTAGACAGAACTCTTAGAGATCTTAGAAGCTGTGATAAAATCATGGGTGGGATTACTGTTATGTTTGCTGGGGACTTTCGCCAAACTTTACCGGTAATAGTAAGGGGAACTAGAGCAGACATTGTGAAGGCTTGCCTTAAAAGTTCTCCATTATGGAAATTTGTAAATATTTTAAAATTATCGACAAATTTGAGAGCACATTTGGGGGGATGTAGTATAACTTTCCCTTCAAAATTACTTTCTGTAGGAGACGGAAAAATACCTCATTCTAATAATAAAATTGAAATTGATTGCGATTTAGGAGTAAAAGTGGGTAACATCGAGGAATTAGTAACTAAGGTATACCCTGACATCAGCCAAATAGAAAACAAGGACCATCAATGGATGTGTCAAAGAGCAATATGGGCGGCAAGAAATAGTAGCGTTGACGAAATAAATGATATCATTTTGAGTAAACTCCCAGGAGATATTGTAACCTACACATCCATTGATACCGTGATGGATCAAGAAGATGTAGTCCATTACCCACAGGAGTTCCTCAATTCCTTGAACCCAAGCGGCCTTCCCCCACATTCTCTTAAGTTAAAAATAGGTGCCCCAATAATTTTACTAAGAAATCTCAAACCACCAAATTTATGCAACGGAACCCGACTTCAAGTAAAATTTCTGCGCAATAACGTCATCGTTGCAATAGTTTTGACTGGTCCAGCAGTTGGTCAAACAGTCCTCATACCCCGCATCCCAATGATACCCAACGACTTACCTTTCAATTTTAAAAGAATACAATTTCCGCTTAAATTATCTTTCGCAGTCACAATAAATAAATCACAGGGGCAAACATTCAAACACGAGGGAACGATTACGCCAAGACTGTTTTTCGTACGGCCAGTTATATTTACTTTAAAAATTGTACAGATATAGTTTGGAACTCGAAAAAAAACATAGGTTTTATCCTGAAAATTTTGCGGGAACTCGACCATTCCGAAAATCCCGCAAGAACGGGAACTATGTGGGAAGAACCAAAAATCTGCCGGAAGTCACTATTCCACGCGGACGAAGTCGCGGGCAAAAGCTAGTGCTTTAATAAATATGTAAAATGGGCCAACACGAAAAAAAGAAGTACATATTTACATACATAATTACTTTTACACATGCAACTCCCTAGTTGAAAAAAAAAATTGAAGCATGAATGTGAAATGCCGACGGCAAAACACAATTCTGTACTTTTGTGACTCTATAATGGTGTCAACTAAATGAAATATTATAAAAAAATATCACAATATTTTTAAATTATTACTAATAACTCACAATAAAGTAAACATGAATTAGCATCAAATATTTAAAAGAAAAAAATTAATAATAGTTCAATAAAAGGAAATATAGTTCAAATGGCATATCAATATTCCCACTTTGGCATACATATTATATTCTCTTCAATATTCGCCATTTGGTTATGTTAAGAGAGCGTATGTGTACAGATTCACCGCTGTTGCTGCATTACAAGCGTTGACCCATAAAATACTTGTATATGACAAAATGGTGATTACGCTGTTTATACTAAGCCCCGTTAGAGTAGCCAGTGTATTCCGCAGCGTTTCGCTTGAAGCTGTTAGCATTATATCCGGTATAATGCCTCCAGATATAATAGCAGCAAAATACTCGGCAGGTCGTTAAAAATAGAAGAACGAAAAGTAGAAGGACAAACGAGTTTAAATGAGTGGCAAAAGCGTTGGGACCCAATAACAAAAGGGCGATGGTCACACTGTCTTATTAAAAATGTCAAAACCTGGGTGGATAGAAGGCATGGACATGCGGACTTCTATATGGCGCAATCTCCAACTGGTCATGGCAGCTTTAGAGAAAACCTGTACAAGTATGGCCATGACAATGGAGTGAAGTGTTCCGTTTGCTCTGCACATTTTCTTATATTGCCGGCGATATAATGTGGAAAACATTAAATTAGAACAACAGATATCAGAGCACGTATCATCGGATAACATTGTACCACATATGTTGCGATCTAAGCAGATGTGGCACAGCATAAAATACCTGACCGCGAATGTTCTAATTGAACTGAGAAAAGCAGAACTGTTGCGAAAGAGCGAAGCAGGACAATAAGCAGAGTATAAGGACAATGAGATGCAAGAGCCAATAGACTAAGCTTACCTTGCGAAGAAATACTTAACCGTAGCCCCGCGAGGGAGATATGAAGCTAACGGAGTTTACGGGTTTAGTACATAGGCATACCACTTAAGCTATAATAACCAATTTCAAACAAATGGTTTGAGAACCCCTACTGACAATGTGAAAATGGGTGATAACTCTGACCACTCCCCACATAACGGTTTTGATTAAAACAGCAAAAAGCGCAATAACTCATTAAATAAACAAATAAGAAATCTTAAACTTTACACATGAGATGGTTTAATTAAACTGTATCGGAGCCAATACAAAAATTTACAATGGGCGTAGCACCGTTCACCTTTAAGGAAAAACGCATATCTCGGGACCTACTGGACCGATTTCAACCAAATTTGGAAGTAACATTATACTGGCATGCCTATGTTACAGTGCGAAGGAGCGATATAAGAGAACAATCACGCCTACTTCCCTTATAACACAAACTTAAATTCCATCTGATTTTTTGGCTAAGATATATAATTGGAATTCAGAGATAATCCTTTCCTGATAATATTATGTCTGTATGTCAAAAATAAATTGAGTCAGGTCAATACTTCTCTTAGCCCCCATATACCTAAAGAAAGATTTTCAAACTTTCAGCTGACTTCATACCGCAAATATCGGCCAAAATGTGAGTTATCTTAATAAAATAGCATAATAGGGCGAGCATATTTTCCTAATAACGGTGCATCTGTGTGCCTAAAATGGATTAAATCGGATGAAAACTCACTCTAGCCCCCATATAACTAATATCAGGATTTCCAAACATCGAGTTGACTTTATTCCGCATATATTGATGATGGTATATGAGATACCTGAATTAAATTCAGAGAACAATTTTTCGGTTAGCAATATGTAGTAGTGCCCAAAATAGACAAAATCGGGTCTATACTACCCCTATCTCCATATGTACATAAAATGATTTTTGTTATTTTTACAAACCTTATACCGAATATGTCGGCCAGTGTGTGAGCTATTTACTTATAAAATTTCTAGAAAATATGTTATCGAGTATACCTTAACAATGTCCTAGGTTAATGCAACAAGCCCAAAACTTTCACAGGCTTCTATATACCCTGTATATGGTAGTGATTTCCAACTTTCCAGCTGTGTATAAACCGTTTAGGTTGGTTACGTTATACTATTAATGGTTCTCAACCAATGGTCCGTGGACCACCATTGGTCCGCAGAAGCCACAATATGGTTCGCGAATGATTTTAAATGTATGATAATTTCAAACAAGCCGTCGGTCGCCGTGCAGAATCAAGAATCAAAAAGTCGCCATTTTTCGCTTTGCAGTGTGATTAATCGACCGACATTTTAAATTGTTGTCAACTACTTTTATTTGTTCGCTTTTTAGATGACGACAATATATTGTACTTTAAGTAGAATTATTGATTTCACGGGAACTGGGCACAACATCAAAAGGTATCGACGTCATGAACTCTAAATCCGAATTTTTTGAGAAACATAATCTTATGTGGGATAAACTCGTTGCCCTCTGTACCGATGGTGTCCCAGCAATGTTGGGACCACGTTCCGGCCTGGCGACATTAGTAAAACAGAAAAACCTAAGGTAATAACAACGTAATGTATCATACATCACCAGGCGTTAGCTTAAAAAACTCTTCCTGGATGCCTCAATGATACACTGCAAATAGCCATTAAAGTTGTAAAGGTTATCAGAAGCAGCGCTTTCAATACACGCCTTTTTAAAAAATTATGCACTTAAAAGGGCTCTGACCATGAGACATTCCTCTTTCATACAGAGTTCGATGGCTAGTAGAGCAAATATACAAGAAAACATTAGGACTGTTTTATGTATGTTGATTGATGAATTCGATCGTTACTTCCCAGAATATACCAAAGAAGCTAAAGTTGATCAAAGATTCGTACCCCTTTTAGCACGGACGCTGGTGAAGTTACAGAAGAACTCATTGAATTACAAAATGACAGAAACTGCAAGGATACTTTTGAATTGAATTCAATTGAGTAATTTTAGTGTAAAAAAGCACTTTTTTATACTAAACTTCGAGATCTCCTTACACTTTTTAATGATTTTCTCAACCACTTATTTATGTGAACAAGGATTTTCTGCTTTGTTGGTAATAAAAAACAAGGCGAGAAATCGTTTAAAAGTAAGTGATAATTTGCGTGTGGCTTTGAGTAACAATATCAGTCCTAGGATAACCAAACTCGTAAAGAAGATCCAAGCTCAGAAATCACATTAATTCAAAATTACAAAATTTTTCTATCCTAAAAGTGTTAATATTTCTTTTTATGTATTTTCATATTAGATTTTCAATAAAAGTTGCAGTTTGATTGTTACAATTTATTTTTATTTCATTTATTATTATACCACTATTACTAAATAGTGGTCCCTGACCAAGAAAACGTTGGGATCCCCTGCTTTATAGGGTATCCGATGTGGTTAGGTTACGTATAAGTGTGATATTTTAATGAAATTAATTGAACTAGTTTTCTTAAAAGTTATATATTATATTGATGATTTAACGCTGAATATGTAAGGATTTGGTGTAAGCCACATATTTCTAATATATAATGAACTCCCATCCTCGGGTTGATGTTCATCATCTTAATATACAATAATAAATGTAGCCTCTTTGGTTTATATCACATATATCACATTCGAATATGTTTCTAATATAATTTTTCTGACGCCAAGTAAAATAAAACAATAAAACTAAATGAGTCTACGAACTATAATATAACTTAACAAAATAGCAAATTTGATTGTAATCCATTCAGGATTTCGTCGAATAATAAAGTTGAACTTTTTCGCTACATGTCTTAATATAAAGTTTTGACAACACCTGAAAGTATTTCCCCGGCTCTGATCCTTGCAAATTGCAAGAGTATGAAATGTTCGGTTACACCGGAACTTAGCCCATATATATTATTATATTGATCAAAATGACTAGATGCGAGTTGCCTGGCCATTCACATTGAGATATCTTAAAGAAACTTTTGAGCCAATTTAAAACTGATTGATTTTAAACCACGTTTTTGGTTAGTAATAGCAATATATTAAATATGAGTATCTTAATTTAGTATAGTACAGGGAGGTTTGAAGTCAAATTTTTCAATATATCATTTAATTGAGTTGTTTTTTACTTCTGCTTTACTGCTAGAACAAATCAGCAATTTCATGAATGGAAAAAACAAAATTAATTTATTTTTTGTTCGTAAATGAGTTTTTGTTTAATTTTATTTATTTTTAAACTGATTCTTATTTAATGTTGTAGTATATTGGTTGTATTCGAGAAGCCATTTGAGGGTTCGGTAACAAAGAAAAAACCAAATCGTACAGCAAATCAAAAGCAATCGTATTTCTTCATCGTATTCCATTTCAAAATTGTACATTAAAGTTAGTCTATACACGGTAGTCATTAAAACAAAATTACTTATTCTTATCAATTTTATATACATATTAAGCAAAGCGATTGCTGTGTTTTTTATTAGAAAAATGTGTCAATAAAAATTTACGTAAATAAATATATCCTAATCTACATATATGCATAGATATATAGAAGGTGCCTCAATCGGAATTTTACACGATTATATCACAACTGCAAAGAATCAGAGCAGCGATAATAGAATAAGCATGGACATTCCTGATATTCGAATGTTTATTTCAGTGGAATTTGAAGTGTTTGGCCACGTCCAAGGTAAGCATTGGATAAATTTGATGCTTGAAATTGAGTATGAAAAAGAGCTAAAATAATTTCTGAAAATTAAATTTTCGGCCTCTGTATTAAATTGGCTCGTATTTACAATCTATTTATAGAATTCACAAATATATATTTTAGTTCTCTAAATGCTTAAGATTGCAATCAATTAGAAATATAAACTTAATGGAAGATGTCTTTATCAAAAATGAAATTAACACTGACACAAATACATTGAGGTGCTGCCAAAATGTTATATTACAAAATTTATGTAAATTCAACATTCATTATAAGACGAAGCTGTGGATGGAGTACAATCATATTTGGCATCTTATTAACTTATATTATAGGTCATCATCTCAGTTAGTTTCATTATTACATATTGCTTCGTGTCCGAGATGTTTATATTTAAATCAACCTAGTTAACTCAAATAAGATATATGTGATTTAAATTCAACAAAGTGATTAAAATAATTGCATTAACTTTTGGTTTGGCATTTAGAAGTTTTCAACATAAACGTTATATGGGGAAAAGCGTGGCTTTCACCTATTTTTACACTGTATGAGAAGGAGTTTTGTTAATATAACCTTAATAGTTTGTTGAGGTATGTACACTTATTAGGGGTGGGACACGCCCATTTTTAACATTTTAGCGCCATCATACTTGGTCATCCTGTAGTAAATTACAGTTTTATATCTTATATGTGGCTTAGTTATAGCCCTTCACAGTTTTTCGCTTAACGGCATTTTGTGCGCATTGCGTTAGTTCGATTTCGCCCATACAAACCAATATCAACCCCTCTAACAGAGATTTAGATTCTTTATAAACACCGTTTTTAGTGCATTTGTGTAAAGCAAGAAGATTTTGAACCTTCAGCTATTGTAATCGATAAGGAAGTTAATTATTTGAATAAGGGACATGGCAATTTAATTCTCAACTAACTCTTTTTAAATGAACTGATTTTTAAATGAAAAAATTAAGCACTTAGAATCGACATACAAAAAACAGATAACGTCATGTTAATCCTTTCTCGAAAATCTTAGCATTTTTATAATGACTTTTTAATTTCGGATATTTATAATTTTCTTCAGGGAATTTCGATTAATTTTACGTTCTTGCAACGATGTTATCAAAATACTTCATAAGAAACCTGTGATCTAAGTGAGTTGTATTTCAAGCAAAAATAAATAAAAATCATAATGATTATATATACATACATAAATAATGATTATATATATGTATATACATAATAATGATTTTTGTAAATTTAATTTTTTTACTCAAAAATAATAATTCTTTATGATTTTTTGTAAAATTAATCGTAATCGGTGAAGAAAATCCTAAAACTCAATGTATAATGAGTACGTGATATTTTAAATAAAACTTATAGTGATTACAGTCTCTGATAAAGATACAAGATATTTATTGACTTCAAGTATTTTTAATGTATTGCTATATGTACACTTACTACTATAAGTAAAAAGACCGAAGGCGTATTTATCACGTACAAACATTATCTGCACTGGCATATTACCAAATGCTGGATATAATTTATTTGGGGTATTTTTGTCTAAACAAAAAATTTTTTACCTTTAAATAACAATCGAAATGGACAACTTATAACATGAAATATAAAATTTACATCAATAAATGAGTCCAGGGTTGCTTCTGTTGGAGGTTCATCAATCATCGAAGTATCTAGGCGCTTAAGTGATTGGCCGCGTAGACGTGACTTACCAACGATCTTATTTTGAGGATCTACAACATAACTATGTATTACAATGGATTAAGGAATTTTGACCGGAGCGGTCCATCACATTTTCATTAGAATGTTTGTATGCCTGAAAATAAAATTAATTTTAATAAAAAATATTTCTCATTTCATTTATTTGAAGTATACTAACTGAATCAAACCACAGTTTGAAATTAGAGTATTCTATTAGAAATTATCCTAGAAAAAAAAAAATATATTATATTACATATTTATAAAATTACACAGAAGTTTGTCAACTTACTATTGTCTCTTACGAATGCAAATGACTAGCATTTTTTCACTTTTGGTATTTTCTGTTGGCACTAATGACAATCATGTTTTCTTTTTCGCATTCATTCGATAAGATCAAGAAAGGAGGTAGCAAAATTTGTCCTTTTGGGAAATTCGAAATACACTAACCCTGTACGATCAACTTGAGTTGTTGAGAAGGAACATAGTATTTCCAAAAACTTGGAAAATTTTTTTCTTATTGCATTGTAAAGAAAAATGTGTAATTGTGTTGAAACTTAAAGGGAAAGAAGTGATCACATAATATTCATGAGGAATATATACATATTATATGTACATATAAAAATTCCATATACCACTTCAGTTTTCCTATAGTTGAATAAAAGATAACATTTTAGACTATTTTTCCAATATTTCTAAGAGCTATATACATATAAGTACAAAAATCATATAATAATTTCAGTTTCTCTAAGCTCTATATATCACCGCTGTCCAGTAAATAAGGTAGGTGGTAATTATTTTTTGATGATGTACACATTTCAATAATGTCCTCGAAAAAGACGCACTCCTTCGCACCCTCTGTAGTCCCTTTACTGCTCTCTTCACCTAGTAAAACAATAAATAATATATAAAATATTTCAATAATATACTAAATTTTCATTTCTGTTCAATAGCTTCTTGGTTTCGGGAAGTATTGCTCTTACTATTCCAAAAAAACTTTCATGATCTGTAAATTAATAAATATATTTCTTTTTCTGCATGTTCCCCTTTTAAATAGAATTAAGAAATTCCCTTAACTTCAGTTGATTGGCAGTGGTCCGATCTGAAGAATATATTCGATAAATGAGCAGCTTTTTGGAGAGAAAAGGATGTGTGCTAAATTTCACATCGATATTTCAAAAACTGAGACACGAGTATATACAGATAGACAAACGGACATGGCTAAATAGACTCCGCTTATAAAGTAATCTAAGTAAATTCATATTTACAAATGTTTCCCATTATATTAGGCATGTTTTATTTGACCAGCACGTTAATATATTATGTTATTTTATATGGAAGAAGTAGACAACATATTTAGGGTCATTTTCTCAATATATGGTAAAGAGCTTAACTTGAACTTTTAATGGAGGAAGAAAGCAACGATAAAATTAAATAATAAGAGATCACAGTAATCCACTTAATGCACCAGGGATACGCATGTGATATTTGGTTTGCATATGAATGCCTGTAAATATATAGTATATACATACTTACTTTACAGATTTACATACATACAATCACATTATCGACTGATTAAAGACGCGTTTGGGCGTTAAATTACGTTTTGAAAATCCTCTTAAAATATCTAGATTTTTCCATAAATTTAATAATTACGAAGTTTTGTTTTTTATTCTTATGTTTTCCTTAAAGAAATAAAGATAAATTAAATCGTAACAATAACATAAATTGATTTCTTAACTTACATTTCAAATCTGCAGCGACTATCCTCTTGCTTTGTTTCTGATAACATTGGTATCCGTGACACCCAAAACCGATACAACTTCTGAAATCATGACACCTACTACACTTTTTTATCGGTTTCAAATCTGATTCCGACAACTATCAGATTCTACAGCACCTTTGAATACATCCATCTGTGGACGAAGTTCAGGTAAACTTTACCGAAAGAAGGAGTCTTGGTTAATTTCTAACCAGAACATAAAATGACAGCTGTAAACTGAGTGCTGTTGCAACGATGAAAGAAATTTCAAAATGAAAAGGAATTAGAATTGCCGAATTGCGTAGCAGTGAGCTGTTACGGAAAAGACCACAAGGCGTGCCACCCGAGCACGAACAGCACCGTCTCTTCGCCTTTTCTCATCGTCCCCTTGCCTAGAAACACTAGTTTGGGCGGCAAAAAGATCCCTTTTCTGAGCATGCACATACATAAAACAAAGTTATGGAAGAAAAACAAAGTATGAGAGAAAAAGTCAAAAATTGCGTTGAAAAAAGTCTACATACATTACTAAAATAACGTATTTTAGTGCGAAAGCTTCACTTAATTCTAGGTATTATTGCATTTTAGGATTTAGTTGGGCCCTGTCGGAATCTTTAACCGCTTGAAGCCGCCTTGGAATCGATTCTACTAAATTTGGCAACTCTACAGATACAATGCTATTCCAAGCTCCTACTATGGATTCTTTGAGTATAATAGCGGTAAAAAAAATTTTTATTTCTAATGCTTCCCTGCAAAATTTCCTAGATATATTCAAAAACAGGGTGGCGACCGAATCGTGCTGCAAAAACAAACCGTAATAACGTTTTTTCTGTGTGAGTAGTCAACTTACTTTTGTTTTTATTTGGCAGGTTATTATATAAATTTTTTTAAAAATTAATGCTTGAGATACCGAAAAGGGGGTTTGGATAGTGCAACGGTACCATGCTTTGCAGTCCATCATTCCGTAGGTTCGTGTTCAAGAAACAATCGCAGCTGAGGCATCGTCAGTTCAAGCAAATCCAAGAGTTTCGACTCGCAACTTATCCGCGCAACTTGGCGTTAGCAGACGGTCATGAAAACGGATAACTCATGATGACTTAAATCTGTTTCAGTACAAAATTCAAAAAACAAGCCGGTTAAACCCTCTAGATTTTCCTATTGGAATTTTGCCAAAAAATAGTAGTGCATATAGTATGACCTTTGTACTGTATTTAGACTTTTGTCAACGCAATTTTTGAGTTTTTCGCCCATAAATTTGTTGTTTTATGTTAAATAACGAATTTTTATAACTTATCATGATTAGAAAAATTATTAAAATAAAACTATATCAACACTTTTCTAAAAAAATTGTGTACTTTCAGAACCACGAAAACTGGGGATTTATATAGACTTTTGTCCGCCACTGTACATGACGTTTACACAATTTTGCATGTTCACAATGCTACAATAGTTTGTGTTCCCCACGCATTCACAATGATCAAACTTTTTGTAGGTAAGCTAACCACAACTTTGTAAAAACGAATCTGTCAGTTAAAGCTATCATCCAGTTAAGCTACAAGCGGTTAAGGATAATACTAACTGGGTATTGAGAAAACGGTCCTTATATTGACTTGTCAAAACCTATCTTACTTGTATATTGAGCTAGAGACATTGCCCAATCTTTGTGTTTTTATTCACAATAGTCAAATTTTTGCAGTAAATAGTAGTGGCAATAACGATAAACCTTATTTTTAACAGATGAAACTGTGAACAAACCATAATTACAGATTTTTGTAGATGGGTAATGAGTTAAAATTAAGACAAAATAGGAACATTTGTTTTTAGTTTTTTGTATTCTAGACCTTAAATAAAGAAAATAAATAAATTTGTGTAGTATATTAATAATCCGTTTAAAACTTTAAAAATTCAAACTTTCATTTTCTCCATATCAGAGATTTTGAAATAAATTGAATATCAGCTGACTTCCCCGCCTTGCCAACACAGTTTGTTTTTAACCGAAAATATGAAAAAGCTAAGCGCACTCCTATTGGTTCACTAACAAATTAGCTATTTTTTGAATCTCCACTTTTTTTAAAGTTCTTTCAAGTTTTTCATTTAAAATTTGACCTCGGAGTTGGCCTCAAAATGTCATAATTTTACTTCCATCTGTCAGGGTTTTTAATTGTTTGACACAGCCAATGTGTAAAAACAGTTTTAATTTTGTTGTACCATATACAGTGTATCACAAAAATAAGTATGCACTACGTAGGTATGTGCGTAAAAAAGTCATATCAATTGCAAAATAAAAATTAAACTTTTCGTGTTTTTTACAATAACAATTACACATAACATCGCGGTCTTGAGTATGATAGATCGATGTCATTCACATTTCTGTTTAACAACCGTTGGATTTTCTCAGTAAAAACCAGAAATCATGTCACATAAGTATGTATGCAATTCACCATTTCAGTATGTTTTCGGCTGGCACACAGTATTCGTCCCCTTCAAAATCAATAAATAGTTATTTTTTGTTTAAGATATAAAGATTACCAAGTTTTAATAATATTTCAACCGTAAATTAATTTAAATTTTGATCATGGCGCCGCGCGGAAGAGAACTATCATAAGAAAAAAAGTCAGAGGAAAATTGGAAAAATAACAAACAAAAGTAGTTCCACTATTCAAAAAATAATAGAAAAATATAAAAAAGAGGGAAATACACAAAATAAGGAAAGATCTGGACGGCCAAAAATATTTGATGCAAACGAGCGGCGTACGATACAGGTGAACCCAAAGAAGAGTGCACCAAAAGTGAGTACAGAGATTGAAAACGAGATTGGTAAAACCTGCAATCCCCAAACTATTCGTCGAGTACTGTATGATGCTTTCTACCATGGTCGTAATGTCCGTAAAAATCCATTTATAAACAACATTAACAGACAAAAAAAATTGAAGTTTGTGAAAGAGCACAAAAATAAAGACGAACATTTCTGGAATTCTGTTATTTTCTCGGACGAAAGTAAATACAATATTATTGGCTCAGATGGTCATGAAAAGTCTGGAGAAAAGTGAATACTAAGCTTGATCCACGGAATATGACTGCCACTGTAAAACATGGTGGTCGGTCGCTCATAGTGTGAGGATATATGGCAGCTTCTGGAGTAGGTAATCTTGTGTTCATTTAGCATACAATGAACAAATATGATTACCTTAACATTTTAAAAGCAAATTTGAGCGAATCTGCGAATAGATTAGGACTTGAAGGATCATTTGTATTCCAACACGACAATGATCCAAAACACACCGCTCGCATTGTTAAGGAATGGCAAAAAACACGAGCCCAATCTCCTGATGTCAACCCTATCGAGCATAAGGAAAATAAAAACTAATTTTTGAGTTTTAAGCATTGTTTACAGAGAAGTGTTAACATTTTTGTTGTGTTTTATGTATGCTGAACGCGTTTTTAATTGTGTTATTAATTTTAGAATATTCCTAGTACACATATCGATCACACGATTCAACACTTTGCAGTAGCCACCGACCGTGTGACCGGCGGATGTAACGCAATGCCTTACACAAGCTTAGGCGTCAGCAGAAACTTAGAAAAGCAGCGTCAATGGCAGTAGCGGCAATAGTAATAGTAGGTTATAAATAAGAGAAATGTAATTTTAATAAAACAGTTTTAGAACGGAACTCAACTTGTGTTTATTTAAAATAACATAATTCCGTGGTAGTCGACAACACCGTCGCTATCGCATAAACGGAATATTATTTAAATAGTTCGTGGGTAGTCGACAACACCGTCGTAACTGGCGCCCAAAGTAAAGGCTCGTGAAAAGTGCTGTCAAAAAAAAAATAATAATAACAATCCCCATCGTTATTGTCCCGGTACATGAAATTCGTCGTTACGAGAAAAGTACTGAATTATTAATCCGCAAATTGCCATTCCAACGTGATAGAAAGATTACAACGTGCAAGAAGGAAGATTGCAACCAAGGAGGAAGAAAGAAGATCACAATCAACGTAGAAGAAAGAAAATCTAAATATAATTATGTAAGCGAAACCCCTTTTCATATCCGACATATATCGACTCTTTAGTAGTATTTGTATTGACTGACAGAATGTCTGATTACAGACGCCAGAGCGTAAATTATTTGACACAAGAAAAAAATGATGTATCCCAATACAAAAATCAATACGATCAAGCTGCTTATGATGCAGCGGCAGAAATAGAAGCTGAAAATGTAGCCGGCTATGAAACAGATACTCTTTATTTGTTAGCGGAGAAGGCCATTGGGATCCTCCATGACAGTTCACATATTTTCCCGAATATTGCTGCGAGGCAAATAGATCGGAGCAACGCTTATCGCCAGAATATGGTCTTCGAAGTGGGAGAAAAATCCAACAAGAGGTTGGGCGACAAGGTCATCCAATTGCATATTGAAGAGAAGGTTGACGCTGATTTAGGAACAACCGTTCTTATTAAGGGAAGGGTGGTTCACAAGGACAACCTCAAATGAAAACTTCCGATACGGTTATTTTGATACAGTTATTACAGAGGCGGTTATGAAGGAAGGTTTTACGGGAGTTACAATAACCCAATTGCTTAGGATAGCTAGAGTTAAAGTTTTAGCGAATAAAGAAATAATAATTTTTGTAATCAGCTTCCCTAGACCTAAGTTATTATGTAAAAATATTACTATTTTTCCCGTATCTCATGCTGGCCGTATATTGCACTTGTTAGATAACATCATAGCTGACTGTGAAGGTAGCATCACCGCTGTTACTTCTTGCGTTGACACGCCAATGATAACGCTCTGTAGAGATGCCGTAAATGGAACCTGCGCACAAGGTCTCCACTCTGGCATCGTATCCCACTGTGCCACCAGGTCCACTGATTTAGCCCCCATCTCTGTCATAGACGACGGTATAGTGGTGGTAAATGATGGCCCTGAAGTGTTTGTGAACGGCACTTACCTTGTTACGCACCGCCTTTATCAATGGTACAAAATATGTCAACTTCAATGACTATTCGAAGAGACTTCCCCAACTGGCGACTTCAGCGCGACTCAACGTAACCTACCATCATGCCCTGCTAAGCTTACCATTCCTTCACAAGTTGAGTGAAAAGAACCTGCAACGCATCTCCGAACTACGCATACGAACAATTGCTACACCAGTCGCTACCGCGGTAATCTGTGCCATCATCTCCGCAACCACAATTGGATTAATCGTTTTACTGATGCGTGAAACTTCGGAGGCTGTGCGGCGAGTACTGGAAAGGTTGGGTATGGCCGAGGACGCCCATGTTTTGGAGAAGAGAGTAGTTAACAATAGTTAACTAAGTCAGTCTCTTGAACTGCCAAAGTTGCAACCTATGCAGTTTGGATTTCTGAATAACCGACAGCCGCAATTCAACACCTTTAAGTAGTCACCGACTGTGTGGCCGGCAGATGTAACGCAATGCCTTACACAAGATTAGGCGTCAGCAGAAACTTAGAAAAGCAGCGTCAATGGCAGTAGCGGCGATAGTTATAGTAGGTTATAAATAAGAAAAATGTAATTTTAATAAAACAGTTTTAGAACGGAACTCAACTTGTATTTATTTAAAATAACATAATTCCGTCGCTACCGAATAAAGGAACAGTAAAATCTAATAATAAAAATATAACTTGCACATGACTAGCTAAGCGCGCGTGGCCTGAGCGTTGCTTCCGTAGAATTTTTCGTTTGGCGACGGAAATACTGCATACGCATGGTCAGCAATTTTGTGAAAGTGCAAGTTAATAAACGCGTATTTAACTCCTCCCCCTTTAGTTTACCCTTGTTCTCAAGTGTCTGTTAAATATAATATAATATATGGACGTTGTTGAACTGAGGTGGACTTAATGTCATGACCTTCGGTATATGGGCGTTAAAGCCGGTGTTGGTAGTGATGCCGTTTGTATCGCAATCTACTGTTTGTTTCGTTGCCATGCGTGTAGCCCTAGGCAAATTAATAGGTCCAGGAAGAATAAGAGAACCAGTACAATCCTATTTATATCAGGTTTTGTCTTTAGATGCTTAAATTGGTTCGATGTTCACGGTGTCGTTTTCAAAATTAACCAAGTATCTTCCCTCTGCATGACTGCTAGTGTTTTTTCATGTGACTGATCCGTTATTTTTGTTCAACAAGATGAAGCCGTTACCAGTCTGTTCAATCTGTAGGATATGCTCAGCGTTGCTAAAAATGCAAAGTGATCGTTCTCATCTAACTAATTATATATATGTATACAATCTGAATTTCTTAAATTAACAATTGTGTACTTATTGCATATTGTTATTTCCATACTAGTTTTACAATCTTTTTGAATCTGGTTTACTTCTTCTTTAAACAAAAATATTTCGTTTTGTTCTAAATGGATAATTGAATTGTTTCTGACAATTGGTTTCAAAAGTATGTTTTGGTAATTAATTTTATCAAAGTTTGGTATCTTAGCAATTTAAAGGAGTGTCGTTGTTTTGTGTAAAATGC